TTCACACTATTACAGACTGACTTGATTGGCTAGAGAGAGCCACTTCCAATGCAAATAAGTCCAGTAGGCACCGGGAGTTTAGACTGCAATGAACGCACCTAAAGAAAGTAATAATTCACATTAATAAAGACTGCTTAACACCATACCAAAAAACAGAACAAAAAACAAAACAAGAAAACCACCCATCACTTTGCAAGTTGACATCTCTCCTTACTATTCAGCCCTTCTGTGCACTGTTGTTTTTTCCTCTTGGATTTCGAGAGACAGTATCACAAACTGCAACTCCTTATTAAATTTAGGATTCTTTCTTGGCTAGCTCCTCTCAGAAGCCCAACTAATTTGCTATAGCACAGCCACGCACCTCTAATACAGACCTTTGAAAGAGAACTTATTCCATAATCACAGGGTTAAGTGTTTTCATTACCAAATATAATTTTAAATTGACATTTGTATACAATTTAACATTAAGCTGACAACAGTAATTTGATATTAAAAAAATCAAGCTAAATTACTAATAAACTTTTTGACAGTTAACTGCATTTCTATTAGGGAACCCATAGATGTCTGGGTTAGTGATGTATGCAGTGGAGCAGGATATACATGGGGCCAAGGAAAGGTAAGGCTATTGCATATGCGTAATTATGGGAAGAAAGGGGGAGTTCTGCATCTGAATGCTAAAACGGACATGCTGAATGGGAGAAGGATAGAGCAAGATCAGCCTAGGCAAATAAGGAAAGACAAAAAGGTGCTGCAGCGGTAGATAATCTATTCATGTGTTAGAATCAGGCATCTTTGTATTCTCAATACCCGTTTAGAGTTCAGAGTTCATTCTTTTTTTAAAAGCACAATATTCTCTGCAGTATGTTTTTCAAGGTGAGTTTAAAAGGTGCACAATGCTAGTCTAAAAGATGATGTCTAGAATCTGATTCTACTAAACAAAAGAGAAGCAATACTCAGCTAGATTGGTCTGCAGTCAGCCTAGAGGGCCCAAAGACTGGATTCTCCTCACAGCAAGTATACCACATCCGCACTTATACTACTTAGCTCTACCTCTCCCTCTGTGGCCCACATAAAAGCCTTCCTGTGGCCCCAAGACATTTATCATTTTGGGTGAGGTTTCTTCCCCGACCCCTCCAAAACCCCATCTCCCCAGCTATCAAAGCATATGAAGTAAAGTGAGGTGCTGCTACAGCCCATCAGAGAAGTATTTTCTATTATGAAGGTGCCAGTATGCGCTGCATGCCCTGGAGTGTGCCATGGGAGTGCACATGAAAGTGCTACAGCTACTGGGATAATATTGAACAACTGCAGGAGAGCTGTGCAGTTCAAACTGTACAGTTGCATTGACACTACCTTTTGGGACTGGCCTCTGGCATTACCCACTCCCAGGAGCCTGCCAAAGTCCACTGCAATCAGAAACACCTCAAAAATCCAGGAAACAAGCCGAGTCTGCAGCAGCACAGACAGCTGCATGACTGCAACTGCTCTCCAGCTCTTCTGCTTAGCACTGTAAAGCATACCAAAAGGTACCTGGAACCAAGGCCCACCACAAGCTCTCACCTGCTACCTCCCTTCCTCTCCCCTCCTTCCCCACAAGGAGGCCCCTAGGCCCATCTCCTTAGCCCTACCTTGCCACAGCAGTACAAGTACTGGAAACTATCTGGTGGAGGAGCTTAAGAGTTGTATTTAGCAGCACAGGGAAAAGCTGGATGATTCCAAACAGAACTACGCTGCCAGCAAACCTAACATCAACAACCATACAAAGTGCAGAAAATAATCTGTTTAGAAATTCATATGAATGCTCAGCAATTGCTGAAGCTCATTTACCGCATGCAGCTTTCATGAAACAGTGCCATGTCTCATCTCCTCCCTGAAAACACAATCTGTAACTACCCTCAAGTTCTGAAAAGCACTGAAAAATTAACTGAAGATAGCTTTCATTTATTTTTAGTTCTCCATGATACTGAATTCCCAAGCCCACAATAAAAACATGTTAAAAGACAGGTAATTCAAACTCTGGAAGCCTCTCCTTTGGAGGAAAACAGTCTAAGAGGGAATGATCACATGAGATTACAAAGAAAAGTCAGCTTGTGAGAATTCTCATTTCATGTCACTTTCACACTTGAGGAAAGCTGGACACCAAAATAAAAGCATGTAATTAAAGAACACTAACCTTTACGTCTCTTGCATCATTTTCAGGCATTTTACCTGCTATTTGTTCAGATTTTGTGCATTCTTGAGAGCATCTCTGAGGGAATTAAATACAAGCTGACACAATATGGAGGAAGGATACCACCAGAGCAGTTAAGTTACCAACTTGGCTGTGTTTTCACTGACCTCAAAAACAAAAGGTTACGCAGAAACTGGAATCCTGGTCAAATTAATGGAGGAATATAAAAGCACAAGCAAATTAAAACAGAATAAGGCAGTGCACAAGAAGTCAGAGACAAGTAACAGCTATTTCTAGGCACATCAATGGCACGACAACGACCACTGAAAAAGTTAATCTACCTGTCAGAGGGAGAGACAGTAGCAAGAATGAGAGACTGGCATATCAAATAGTGTTTCTGGTCAGTCTCCACTGGTAACAGTTAGCTGTGGCGAAGCAATTAAGAATCACACACAAAACAGCACAAAAGAGGTAAGAAGCCAGCTAAAATAGGAAAAGGAGAGGGTACAGTGAGAAATTAACACTGAAAAAGTTAATCTACCTGTCAGAGGGAGAGACAGTAGCAAGAATGAGAGACTGGCATATCAAATAGTGTTTCTGGTCAGTCTCCACTGGTAACAGTTAGCTGTGGCGAAGCAATTAAGAATCACACACAAAACAGCACAAAAGAGGTAAGAAGCCAGCTAAAATAGGAAAAGGAGAGGGTACAGTGAGAAATTAAGTCTGAAATTGGATCATCTTGCTCAGATTGATTTCACTGTCACATCTGGAAAGCAGTCTGAAATACTCTAAAAGCTTCATAGAAAATGAAAGCACAGGACTGCAATCATACCTGTCAGGCCCCATATTTATCAAAGTAGTCAGGCTATGCTATTTTTATGTATAAAACATACAGATATCAAGTTGTCTCATGTATTGTTTTCATGACTAAGCTGGAAATTTACTCCCTTAACAGTTGCAATCAGCAGTGTGAATGAGATGCAAGTGCTGCGTACAAGTGATCTTTTGTCAAAAAAAATTAACAGGAAAATTACTAATCTGTATTACTCCTGATCTAAAAGGCAGAACAAGAACTGAAGCTAAACCTAATTCAACATCACATTCTGACAAAAAGACATAAAGCAGTAGGATGCATGAACAGCAATACCACAGGTAAGATGCGAAGCACTGCTTCTCCTATACTTCACATCAGTTTAGATTGAATGCTACAGCTAAATCCTGTTTAGATATCACACTTCAAAAAAAATGGGAATCAGTTGGAAGAATCCTGATGATCACATTCCTGATGATCACATTCCCAATAGGAATGAAAAGAATCAAGGCTACCTAGCCTAAAGGGGATGAAGGAAAAACAGAATAGGAGGCACAAACAATCTTTAAACATAGAAGCTGCTACAAGCAGGAAAGCAATCGTATTCTACAGCCACTTGGGATAGGAACATATAAAGAACAAACTGCAGAAAATATAATTCATACAGAAGGAAAATTGTAAGTGAGGTTATACTTCTGGCAGAGAATGACTTTAAGTCCAGCTGATCCTGCCTTGCAGCAGAGGGATGGACTGGGTAGCCTGTTGAGCTCCTTCTCACTCATATTCCTCTTCCATTTCATAGGACTGAAAGGATACACACTCTAGAGACTCAAGTTCCCCCCCACCCCTTCTTCAGGGGAAAAGCATTTTCTTATCAATAGCTAGACTGAGGAAAAAACAAAGTTTTCAAAATAAATATTCTTCCAAAAATTCAAAAAAATTTGAACAATGCATAAGTGTCTACAACTTCATGGACAGTTCTATAAGTTTCTAAGAAAAAATCTTTGAGACTTCTAGAACTTCTAAAAAAATGGAAATTTTCAGAGAATGCTTTAAAAAACCTTAGAAGATCTAGCAATTCTGAAAGTTGCAGAAATTTCTAGAAAGCTCACAGAATGTTCTAGAAGTTTCTAAAAAAAAAAAAGAGGAAAGTTTTGAAAGATCAGAAATTTGGAAAGTGCCAGAAATTCAAGAAACAGTCCTTCAGGAATTTCAGTGGAGGGCTAAACACTTAGAAAGTTCTTGAAAGTTATAGAATTTCTTGGCCCATTCCCAGGATTTCTATAAAGTCTTGGAGAGTTCCAAAAATTCAGAAAAGGTCAAAGAATGGCCAGAGAAGGCAAATTTCTCCAAAAAAAGTTGTTCCAAAAAATAAAAAGATTCCAGAAAATTATTATATGCCTATTTTTTTTCCAAAGAGGAGACTCTAGGAAGCCAGGGGAGTGCTTGGGAAGTTCAGGAGATTTCTAGAGAGTATTAGAATTTCTTGGCCCATTCCCAAAGTTTCTAGAATCTTAGAAAGCTCCAGAAATGTGGAAAGGTCAAAAGGCTGGCCAGAGACAGTAGGTATTCTTAAATTGTCAAACTTCTTTTTCTAAAGTCAGAAAAAAGTTCATTTTTTGAAGAGTCTTCATTTCCAAAAATCTTTCATTTTTAAAAATTTTCCTGAAATTCTTGAAATGTTTCAATATTTGACTTTCTCCATTTTTCATAAAAATTTATGATAAAACAAAAATTTTTCCAGAAAGTTTAACTTCTTCAAAAAAGTATTTTCCAAAAGTTTAAAAAACCCAAGAAAATTATTATATGCCTATTTTTTTGTAGAAGAGATGTAGAAGAGATCCCTGTCAACAGCATTCTGCTGTATTTTAGCAGCTTCATACGCAAGGCTAGTGAAAGAACAGTTTTGCCCTGCCTGTATCCCAGAAAGAGGTCAACATAAAGAGAAGTATTTTTTCAAAAGGAAGTAGGAGAGAAAAGAGAGAGGGGGGGGGGGGGGGGGGGGGGAAATCCACTCCCCTGCCATTTTTTTTGATGTAGGTTGCTAAATAACCATGGTCTTCCCAGTTATGAACTGTTTCTGTCATTCCCTGCTCCTGAAAAATGGGCTGTAGAGCTTTAAGAACGGCATTGCAATCAGCTGCAAGAGAAAAAACAACAACAAAACACATTGTCAGTGAGGATTTCCCGCTCAAATCATTCTTACATTCAACTTAACCAAAAACACACACACACACACAGAGAGAGAGCAAGGAGGGAGCGGAGGGGAGGGGATGTCTTCTTCCTCCAAAGACATTTTCCCAGAGCACAGAGGTTGCAACAGTTTTCTTTTAAATCATCGCTTTTCCCTGAGCAAAGCCTCTATCTGCAATACAGGTAGCCAGAGTACTTTTATTATGGCTACTATTGCTCACTTATTGCACTACCTTCTAAGCAAGTACCTGTTCATGTATATTATTTTTAACACAAAAAAAACCACCCCATACACAACACAAAACACATCCACCCACCCCCAGCACACCCACATACAACACTGAATGCAATACCAGCAATTTGGTAGCTTCCCTAGCTTAAGGCTTAATGTTTTTTCACAGGCACTGACCAACCAGACAAGCTGGCCACCCAACTCCAGAGAGTGGTCATTCTTTCACCTTATCTCTTTCTGGATCCAAGCAAAGAGGGAAGCCTCAAGCTTTCCAAACACCATATAGCTTACTCTGTGCAAAGCAGTATAAACAAATGCTAATGTACAGAAATATGGAAGCACAGACACTTCCACCCTGACATCTGTCAAAATATACAATTTCTTTCCTGAACAATGATTCAGGTCCTTGAATGCATTTCAGTGCAGGAACAGGAGGACCAGGAAGACAAAGGAAATTCCAGGATTTTGCTGCATCTTTGAGATCTACTAAACTTAAATGTTATTGGGACCACTTCCTCAATATAAGGTTTGCTTAAAACAGTGACTTACAAAAGCCAAAGAATGAAAAAAAGCACAAATGTAATTCCACCACTTCAGCAGATGGTAAGGACTGGTTTTGTGAAGCTAAAACACATTCTCATCAAGAATGAGTCAAGCCACTCTCACAGGTGCTTCTCCATATCACAGATGGAGTGCCCTGGGAGAAAAGGCATCCTTTTCCTAACATCCAGGCCAAAGGAGAATCTCAAATGAAATCCTCAAGATGCCGTGGAAAAGGCATCTCACTGAGAAATACACACAGACGAAATTGTTCGCAAACAACAAGAGAAGTTACAGTGACGATAATTATGGACAAATCATCATCCTGTTTTTGAAGGTAATGGTATGACTTCACAGTTAGAACATGCAGACCTCAGAAGCAGAGTCTAGGGTACACACTCAAATATATTAAAAACCTTCATGATGACTATTTTAGACACTGCCTTCAAGTAAGTTTACTCAAATAAAATCATGAATTAATTCACTGTGCAAGTTAGAGGTTTCTTGCAAAGCTACATGAGAATCAGAACAAAACTGGCAAGACTGTGTCATAGTAGCAAGTGTGTGCACCAATGAGAAGACATGCAATATTAATCCACAGACTGTCCCCCGGGACAGATATCATTTTTGGTTTTATACAGACCATATATAAAAAAAGACATACACACAACACCCTAAGCTCCTATGGTCATGCAATAGGGCAATAACATAACCAGGATTTAGTGTTATTCCATGAGAAGTCATCTGAAGGCATGGTTTATAACCAAATGCTTCCAGTACTGACACACTGGGTTCGCCTTCCCCCACCATTACTTTGTTTTCACTTCTCTCCCCACCACCACCCAAATGCATATACCTTAGAAACCAGTTAATGCAGCCCAAAGGTCTTATCAATAGGAGCCTCCAGAACTTTGGTGGTTTCTGCAAGCTTTAAAAGATTTAGAGATAAGTAAAATAAGTAAATCATGTAATGTCCACCTCATCTATCATATGCAGGAAACTCCACAATAGACCAAACCAGATATTTGATTACTTGAAACCTATGTGTTTGCCCGTCTATAAAGCCTGGACTCAGTAATCCCTGTATGTTTTTACCAGAAAGAGTGAAATAATTAAAAAAAAGCATTTCTCTTATTTTTCCTCTACAAAGAGTCAACAGTGATCTAATTCCTCAAAGTCTTGCCAAAAACATTTGTTATAAGTGGAAAGGCCCTGCTTCTTACTGCTGCTATTATCTGATCTTGAGTTCATGTTCCAAAATAAATATTTACTTTTCATCTTCTATTTCTGACCCACTAACTCCCCACGTCACAGCTTATGGCTAATTAGAACGAACAAAAACAGAAAACCATGCACACATGTTCTGTTGGACAACAGTGAATAATTTCAGTGCTGGCACAATTATTACTTTCTGTTAGTATAACTACCCATGATTTTTACCCTCACTAATGAAACACAACCTACACACACATACACGCTCCACTCTACTACAATGACCCTTTTCTTTTTCCCTACCCTCCTGTCAAAATCCACATAACTTACGCCAGCTAAAACACAGCAAGAGCAATTTCAAGTTTTTATACTTGCTTTCCAACATCAGTCAGGTACTATCATGCTGCATGCAGTAATTAAGGCTCTGAGTACATAGTTTATTCACCCACCAAGGGTTACAGTAGTGCTAAGTGTAGCTGGCAATCAAGCTAACATATTTGGGGGATATTATGAGCACAAAGGAAATTGTATCGTAACTACAGCTGCAGTTCTGAAACTGCTTCCAGCTCCTGCAGCTTTGCACTAGGAAGGGGAGAAGGGTGCTGCCCCCTCCACCCCCACTTTCTTTTTTTTTTTTAATTCAACTTTAAACATTCAGCTTCTGGGACACATCAACTCTTTCATTACGGGGCAGACAGAAGCAGCTGTTCCAAGGCCAATAGATTTGCAAAGAATTTTTGGCACTTCAGACATCTGGTCCCCTCTTCTCACTTGCCATTTGCTTCCTTCCCTGCTCTTTTATCTTCTGCCTCATCTTTTGTAACACCCATGCTCATTTCCTTCCTTTATAGTTTCTTATATGATTACCAGAACAACATTAGACAAAAACGCGGATTAACAATGCACACCATACTCTTCCAGTCAGTAAATTAAGCACGAAATCCAAGAGAAACTAGCATGAAATGAACTCCCAGACCACTTGATTTCTGCTGCCCCTGCAAGCTGTAAGTAGAAGATGCAGAATAGATTCTCTGCAGGAACTCAAATGCTCATACCATTTGGCCTGCTTCAACAGCTTCAAGGATTCCTGTTGGCTGCACCTTGGCAGAGACTGTAGGATAAATTATCACAAGTATTCTTCTGCTCCAAGATACTAATCCTTCATAAGCTGTTCATCTTTCTACAGCAGACTCCCTTGCTAATGGGCCAGGCACAGGCTCACCTTTGCATTCTTCCTACTACCTGATTAGTTTTAGGAAAGAAAGATATCAGCATGTTCTCTTTCTTTAGGTTTTCTTTTGGTTATACCACACAAGATCTGCCTTGAAGGGCTAATTAACTCCCCAAGGTTGGGACACTCCCTTTTAAATTTTTGATGCATCATTGGATTGCCAAAGGCATCAGGAAACTTCAGAAATCTCAAAGTCTCTCACCTAAATCCACTTGCCACCACTCTCACTCTAAGCTCAGATATGCTATACTAAGTGTTGATACCTGAAAAGGACAAGTGATTAAATCAGTAGGAACACCTCTGAATCTAGATCAAAATGTTAATTTGAGTTAGCATATTTTATTGCTATTCGGGAACAAAGGAAGCAAACTCAGGTTGCCAAGCATGAAATATTGCTTTAAGCATTTGATAGTTATTTGCAAAAAGAAAGGAAAGAGCCCAGAACGTCGACTCCAGAGAGAGCAGAAACAAAAACACTGCATGGAAGACTCGTGAGATTTATCTCAAAATATTTAACATCCAGTTAGTTTAAACCAGACAGTTTCTGAATCCCAATATACTTTCAGAAGAGACAATTTGGAATAGTTATAAACATTCCTTTAAAGTTATAGCAGCCAAGAAGCCGTTAGTTGACAACGACCTGAACACGAGTATTGCTTAAAGGCCAAAGATACTTTATAAAGCATCTCTCGTGGTCTCAGCGTAACGTTGGCCAAAGTTTCACACAGCTATTCCAACACTGAGCTCAATAATCTGCTATTGAACTAAACCATTGCTAAAAATACTCCATTTTGATTTAAGGCCTCTTCATAGCAGGGTATTTACAAAATCTTAGTAAACCATGGGAACGGACTACTTCTCATTTGAAAGTGTTCACTCCATTTGAGTTTTATATTTTTCTTACCCTGACTTTGAAACGGTTGTGTTACGTTCTTGCATGTCAGAGGGGAGGAAAAAAGGGCAAATTCACATGCCTTTACAGCTCTCGGACTAGTTCTCATTTGAAAGTGTTCACTCCATTTGAGTTTTATATTTTTCTTACCCTGACTTTGAAACGGTTGTGTTACGTTCTTGCATGTCAGAGGGGAGGAAAAAAGGGCAAATTTCCCTTCATTTCCAGTAGGACTTCATTTTCCCTTTTAATTTAAAAAGGGCCACAGACAAACAACAACTTAAGTCAAATAAACTGCTTCCTTAAGAGTACATTAAGAGGTAATGTACATTAGGAGCCAAAATGCAAAATATATTAATAGTGAAACAGCAATGTGAACGCCGACTGTATGTTTCAGAACTATGCAAAATAATCATTCCATATATTAAGTCATTGTGCTGTACAAGTCCAAAATTCTCACATATGGGTGTTTTACCTATAACCTGGAGCTCTACAAAACCTCAGAGGGAAAGTAAGCAGACAGAAACAAGAGAGATGATTTCAGGATTGAGCAATAAAGGGAACGTGCCTGAGAGAAGGGATTCGTTTTTAATTAGGTCAGCCTCCAGGGCCAGTTCAAGCAGGGCAGCAGGATACAGGGCAGAACTGCATCAGACTGTACGTTGGACCTGCTGCCAGTAGGCACCATACCCTGACTGCTCCAGCAGCCAGTGCACAAAGGGAAAGGGGAACAATGACAGTACTGCCTTCCACCTCCAGTTACTGGAAATACAGAAACTAGGTTTAGGGAGGTCTCACATTCTTACCGTAATACTGCTTGAGGCATTTTTCCAACATTAATTTT